AGGAATAGTGGCTCCGGGCGTGACATTAGGTCCTCCGCCGTGCATCTTAAGGGCCCGAACAGTGGCCACCAAAACAGCACAATCAGGGAATATGCCTTTCAAACAGTTAGTATTTAGTATTATTAGCAATTCAATCACTTATATAGTGAATGAATAGCTTACCTGATGTCCTAGACTTTATGTTAACAAACTTTTCAAATCCAATATCAGCGCCAAATCCACATTCAGTCACTATTTTAAATATGATTGTTATATTTTATGCTTTGGAAAGATAGTACATTCACTTACAAACGTAACCCTTTTCTCCCACTAAATCCAAAGCAATTTTGTCGGCAATTATTGATGAGTTACCATGTGCTATGTTAGCAAATGGACCTATACTTAAACCAATAATTCCATTAAGATTCTAAGTCATTAAACAAATTCTGGATTTTAATAATTGATACCACAGTGAACAAAGACAGGCGTTCCTTCCAATGACTGCATTAAAGTGGGTTTTACTGCATCTGTATTTGTAAAATAAATAATTAATTTATTATACATAAAATATGAATTCTGTATAAATATACCTTTAATGAGAACGGTTACAGCACCGGTAACTCCTAAATCATCGCAAGTGATGGGAACCGGTTTTTCATCCTTAGAATAGGCGACAACTATCCGTCCAATCCTTTCTTTAGCGTCGCCTAAGTTATCGCAAAGCGCCAGAATTGCCATCAATTCACTCGCAACTGATATATCAAATTGTGTCTATAAATGACATTTTAATTCACAATACTTAATTCACAACATTTTGTTTTTTTTAAATAATTACTTTTCTTGAAAAGCCCTTCTCTGTGGGCGCCTCTCCGATAGTGATTTGACGCAAATATCTATCGTTTACGTCCATAACTCGATTCCAAGTAATAGATTCCGGGTTTATATTAAGCCGAGCGAAGGCTGACTTCTGTTCAGTAGACAATTCATTTGGAGCGAGATTTGTGGGAATTCTTAGCTTTTCAAGTCTTCGCAATTGTATGGCAGAAAAGACTCGTTTTTTGCCCGGCTTTGGACGCAAAATTGTGTCACAATTTATACTAAAATTGACTGAATATACTGAACGCTAACAATACCTTTGAGGGAACAATTCGACTGAACAAAGCGGTGTCCGATTGAGTGGATTCGTGAAATATTCGGGCGTCAATTGCGGCCGAAACCAAGTTATTGGCCGCAGTTA